CTTAACTTATTTACACTCTCAATGAAATTCGCCGTGTATCCAAACACGTGGAAGCATTCTATAGTCATCCCTAGACATAAACAAGGTAGCCGCCAAAACATAGAAAACTACCGCCCCATCAGCCATACGCCTATTGCCTCGAGAGTGATGGAAAGAATTGTTAAGGAGAACCTGCTGAACTTTCTGCTTAGTCGCAACCTTATCAATAGACAACAACACGGATTTTTACCGTCCAAATCTTGTCAGACTTGCCAATTTGAGTTTCTTAACAATGTGACTGCGCAGATTGATGCTAAACAAGCACTAGTCATTATCTTCCTTGATATGAGAAAAGCTTTTGACAGAGTGCCACACGCGGAATTATTAGTAAAGCTAGAATCCTACGGAATCTCAGACCGCCTGCTCTCATGGTTCCAATCTTATCTCTCATCTCGCACGCAATCAGTAAAGGTGAACGAGTCTATATCACTCCCCAAACCAGTCACAAGTGGCGTTTTTCAGGGCAGCGTACTAGGCCCACTGTTATTCTTGCTATATATCAATGACGTATTCCAGGTAATACAATATGGCAAGTCCTATCTGTTTGCTGATGACATCAAAATGGTGTTCTCCATTCACCCATCAAACATGCAAGCCGGTCTTTTCCAGATTCAAAGCGACCTTAGGGCTCTGGATGTTTGGTGCAACAATTGGAATCTGGCATTCTCACCGGCGAAATGCAACGTCCTCTCATACCGATGCATCGTTCCGCCCAAGGCGTTAGCGCTTCAAGGCACTCCGCTTGCTAATAGCCTAACAGTTCGAGACCTAGGTGTACATTACTCCAGTTCTCTGAACTTCGCAGAGCAAGTGAGCCATTGCTCAGCAAAAGCACGCTCCCTCATAAGCTACATATTTAAATCCATGGCACTGCAAGAATCTAGGCTTGCTCTATACAAAACCTGCGCCCGACCTATGCTAGAATACTGCTCCATTGTGTTTACCAACTCCAGAAAATGCGATAGAGTAGCCATTGAAAAGGTTCAACGATCGTTTACCAAACGTCTTCTGGGCCACTCTACTCTCAACTATCGTGGTCGGTGCATCAAACTCGTGCTAGAGCCTTTATGGTTGCGCAGGCTGAAAACTAACCTCATCTTCCTATATCAGCTTATCAATAATCCTCTTGCGAACTCACTAACTCCCTTCCTATCATCGGCCAACATTTCGTACCCTCTTCGTAATAGACCGCACTCCATTATCCTGCCGAAAGCCCACAGTAGTACACGTGCAAACTTCTATCTTTACAGATATGCGTATGTGTGGAATAGGCTTCCACATACTGTGCGGGCATCTGATAATGTAATCCACTTCCGTTCAGCACTTAATAGGTACCTCATAGTCAGTCAGGTTTCTACTCTTTTAAGCATTAACAGACTTGAAGACGAACTGTGGGAAAATGGACCTGACCACATATAAGCGTCTTCCCCATCCTACCTCACTCAACTCCAATGTAGTCCAATTGTAGTCCACTTCTCTCATCTGCTTTTCCGGCTCAGTCTACCGTAGTATGCATTCTTTCCGTTTTCTGTCCACTCTTCATTCAATCTTTTTTAGCTCGCTTCAGGTGATGTGACTCACTCAGACAACTTACTGTATGCTTGCATTCTTCATGTCTGCTGTCCTTTCTTCATTCAACCTTTTTAGCTCTCTTCTGGCGACCTTCCTTATGTCATCAGGTCAGCGCACAGCCGCTGCTTGATAGATGCCCAGCTGTCACTTACCTGTCTGTAACACCTAATTAATTGTAGTTCAGCTTCCTTACCGGCTTTTCCCCAGCTCCAGCTACCTTTGTAATATCTCATTAGCACCCTAGCATAATTTGACTATCTGCGCGTCGCTGTGTCTTAGCCTCTAGGCTCTGAACTATTTAGCAACCATATTGCATGCCTGCGCTTCTCCCGTTCGCTGTCCCTTCATCATGTAACCTTAGCTCTCTTCTGTCCAGCAAACAACTCAAGTAGTCCGCGCGCAACCGCTCCTTTCTAGACGTTCATTTATCTATTACTCACTACGTCTATGACACCTACGTATACTGCAGTCCAGCTCTCTTACCGGCTTATCCCGGCACAGGCTTCCTTGCTAGATGCACAGCTGTCACCTTCTCTTCTGCGACACATAAATAATTGCAGTTTAGCTTTCTCACTGGCTTCTCCCGCCTCAGGCTTTCTTAGTTATATACCATTACATCCCCAGCATGATTTGATTATCTGCGCGTCGCTGCGTCTTATGTCCTTATGCTCTGAACTATCTAAAAGCTGTATTGTATGCCTGCGCTCCTCCCGTTCACTGTCCTTCCATCATGAAACCTTTCTTAGCTCTCTTCTGCAGATCAAACATAACTCATGTGGTCTGCCCAAAGCTGTTCCTTAGCCTCTCTATTCTAGACGTTCATTTATTCATTACTCGCTCCTTGCTTGATGCTCAGCCGTCACTTACTCGACTGTGACAGCTAATTACTTGTAGTTCAGCCCTCTCACCGGCTTCTTCCTGCTCAGGCTTCCCTACTTTTATTACATTAGCACCACAGCATGATTTCATCATCTGCGCGTCGCCGCGTCTTCGTCTTTTATGCTCTGAACTATTTAACAACCATATCGTATGCTTGCGCTTCATCCGTTCGCTGTCTTCTCTTCATAAAACCTTTCTTAACTCTCTTCTGTGGAGCAAACATAACTCATGTGGCCTGCGCACAGTTGCTCCATTGCCTCTCCCTTCTAAACGTCCAATTATCCGTTGCTTGCTGCAACGTCTGTGACGCCTGCTCATGTAGGAGTCCAGATCTTTCACTGGCATTTTTCGGCCCAGTCTATCTTAGCACTAAAATCTTAGCACCATAACAGGACTCAGTATCTGCGCGCCTCTGACTCATATGCTGCGATGTCCTCAGCAGACTTAATGTACGCATGCACTCCGACTGTTTGATGTCCTTCCATGTAAACTTTTCAGCTTTCTCCTAGCGCTCTTTTCAACGCTTCAAGTCAGCGCACAGCCGCTCCGTAGCCTCTCTATTCTAGACGTTCTCATATCTCTTAATTGTTGTAACGTCTTCGACTTTTTACCTGCAAGCATCCAGCTATTTGACTAGCTTTCCCAGGCGCTTTCCAAAGTAGTAGTATCCCGGCACCATACCATGAATTGTGAACATATGCACCGCCATGGTTCAGCATTATATGATATGACACCTCTATCAACTCACTGTACACTTGCATTCTTCCTGTCTGTTGTCCTTTCGTCATTCGACCTTTTCAGCTCTCATTTGGTGACCTTCTTTACCTCATCCGGTCAGTGCACAGCTGCTCCTTGCTAGATGCCCAGCTGTCACTCGTCTGTGACACCTAATTAATTGTAGTACAGCTCTCTCTCACTGGCTTCTCTCGACCCAGGCTTCTTTAGTAATATTCCACTAGCACCGCAGCCTGATCTTATTTTCTGTGCGTCGCCGCGTCTTCGCTTATTTTTACTCTAAACTATTTAGGAGCCATAACGTATGCCTGTGCTTTATCCGTTTGCTGTCTTTCTTCATGAAACCTTTCTTAGGTCTCTTCTGTCGTGCAGGCATATCCATGTATTTAGCGCGAGCCGCTGTTTTGCATCACCTTTCCAGATGTTCATTTATCCCTTACTCTATGTATTGTCTTAGACCTTAATACCTGCAATCCTCCTACTCTCGGGCTAGCATTCTCTGCCACTATCCAGCTTGGTACTATTATCTTAGCACCCTAGCTGCGGCCGTTTGGCCACACTGCTCTGATACTCTAAGCAACCTTACTCTACGCTTGCATTCCGGCTATTCCCTACCCTTCCGTCAATTAATGTTTCTTAGCCTCTTATTTCTTCACTCCTCTCACCCGGTCAGCACACAGCCGCTCGTTAGCTTCATATTTCTAGGTGTTCATTTCTCACCAGTTTCTTAACACCCTAGAATGACTCGTTTCTCTGCGCTACGCTACATATATATTTGTTCCGCAGGTTCGCATTCCTTTAACTGATGGTTAATACTTCACTTCTATCGATCAATCCCTTCTCACCTAGTAATTTGGGTCCGTTTTTAGCAAAGGTTTGGACCGTTACATTTGTAGGAGGTTAGCTCTCACAGGCTTTTTCTATTTCAGTAGGACATAGCACTATACTCCCATTACCCTCGTGTCGTCTTTCTTGCTTGTTCCCCCGATAACTTGTACTCAGCGCTTGAGTCCTATCTATCCGCTGAATCTCTTGAATCTCTTTCGACGTAGGCTGGCCACCAGCCATCCATACACCATTCAAACGCCGCTGGTCCCTAAACTCTGCTTACTGTCTTCCCACGCAATAGTCGCATCAAAGTAAACTGGTACTGCGTTTCTGCTTAATGGCGCAACGCTCTGTATTCCATGTAGATAGTAGTAACCCACTTATAGGGCCATTGCTTTCGTAAAACATTCAAAAGACACTTTCAACACAATCATTGCTGCACATTGTACACCCTTTGTCTCCACTCTAAATGTTAAAACATAGGATTTTAACAATGTATGTTTCCACGCCTGTTCGTTGCGGCCTTGGTTGTCTCTCACGTTCCCTTTAGTCCGAGGTCCGGAACTTCTTGGGGATCTGGGATTGGACCGAGAAACCGCTTTTGTCGGGAACAGGACAGCCCATAAGGAGCTATGAAGCACATGGATGTACAATAACCGGATACAACTGCGCTGACTACCATGACCGTTGTCCATTGAGGATAGCCGGTCTCGAGACCTTCACACTCCTGAAAAGAATACATACTCCTGAAAAATCCAGACGCAAGAAACTGGCGTTTTGCCCACCTGGACACCCACAAAGACGATTCTTCGTGAAGCCCCCATCCTCGATTATCCTCAGCCATTATGGCGGCCCTGCCCAAGCTACTGTAGTATACAAGCTTGGGAGAACTCCGGAGATTGGAACTGGAGATTTATTAAGCAACACGTAGCAAAAGTCAATCTTTTTCTGCTTGCACTTCTTCCGTTAAAGCACACGACCAGGTTCCTGCAAGGCAAATGAAAGCGCAGCGTAAACACCAGTTCAAAGTCAAGCAGCGCGCCACGACAGTTTCCGTGCAACACTACAGTACACCCTCCCTCCTTCGAGCGCCGTCCCCGGTGCTACCCCGTAGCCCCCCTCAGCCGGTACTACAAGTTCACGAGCAACCACTGGTGGTGAATCTGCCCACTCTGACTCAATTGACTCAGCTTCTCGTCTACAGGGTTTGAGGCGATTGAAATGGACAACTATAGGTTGACTATTAGGGTTGGTACGATTCTTTATCATGCAGGTGGCCTCAGAGAGCACTCGTTCTACCGTATATGGACCCGTCCACCCTCTGTGAAACTTTGCCGGCACTCCTGACGCTTGAGGTTGGTGTAACCAAACTAAATCACCAACTTTCAGGGGTACGCCAAATACCTTCTTGTCGTAATATTCCTTCTGACGCCGGTGTGCATTCCCTAAATGCACTCGTGCTGACTGATGAGACGGCCAAAGGGAGTCTAACAACTTGCTAACATATTCCATAACCGATGACTGTAGCTGTTGCGTCATCGGTAGACGTAGATCCGAAGGTAATCGTGCTTCTCTTCCTGTGCACATAAGGAATGGTGTCTGTCCCGTCGATGAATGTACTGTGCTCCTGTATGCAAGTAGGCATCTGGGCAACACGTTGTCCCACTCATTGATATTCCTGTCCGCAACGGCCTTCAGCAACGATTTAAGAGAACGATTTGTTCTTTCCACTTGCCCATTTCCTTGAGGATGATACGCTGTGGTTCGAGTTTTGTCTATCCCAAGTAACCGACAAACTTCAATTACCAGTGAGCTCTCAAAGCACGATCCCTTATCCGAGTGTAGCTGCCCTGGTGCACCCCAGTGGCAGACCCAATGATTTACCAAAGCTGTTGCCACAGTGGACGTATCCGCCTGTCTTATCGGTATAGCCTCGCACCATTTAGTAAAGTAATCGAGCATGACCAAAATAAAGCGATTACCGCTTTGCGTCTCAGGTAAAGGGCCTATGAGATTCACTCCTACTCTCTCGTTAGGATAGCCGGCCACCATGGGCTGCAAGGGTGCACGATGAACGATACGAGGGTTTTTAAGGGCACCGCATTCTTCGCACGCTTGACAGTAGTTGATCACATCTCTCCGTTGATGGAGCCACCAGAAACGTCGTCGAACCGCTTCGTCCATTTTATTGATCCCTGCATGTCCCATTTCCTTGTGTAAATCGCTCAGTACTTCCCTAACCATAAAATGCGGGACGATGATTCTTCTCGTGTACGTCGGTCCGAAATTGAAAACTAAAACTCCTTCTTCGGTGGTCAGGTAATCCCACATGGACCAAAGGCAACGAGCTTCGTAACTTTTCCCTTCCATCACTTTACTCGTTGGTTTATCGCCGCCATTAAGACGCCTCTCGTAGATCAGTGCGGTATCGGGATCGCTCGCCTGTGCCGTTTGCCACCGATTATACTCTGCTCCTTGAAGCTTGACGATTGCTACGTGTTGCGTATTACACGAAGGGCACTCTCCATGGTTACGAGGAGGAATTCGTGACAATGCATCAGCATTAGCGTGTTGCTTACCGGGGCGATGTCTGCACTCAAAATAATATTCCTGCAATTGCTCTTGCCAACGCGCGATTTGGCCTTCGGGGTCTTTAAAGTTCTGCAGCCACCGAAGTGACTGGTGGTCTGCGCGGACCAAAAACTTTCGACCTGATAGATAATGTCGATTTTGTTTGATTAAATATACCAATGCCAGCATCTCCTTCCTAGTCGTCCAGTAATTTCGCTCCCTCGGGCTGAGACTGCGACTACAATATGCCACGACTCGTTCGACACCATCCGATCCCAGTTGTGATAACACCGCTCCGATCGCCTTATCACTCGCATCAGTATCCAAGGTAAACTGGCCAGCAGACGGGGACAAATCGGGAAATATTAGCAAAGGGGCCGTACAGAGAGATTCACGTAGGTGATTGAAAGCTTCTGCGCACTGCTTCGACCATTCGAACATGCGACCCTTCTCTAGCAATGAGTGTAATGGGGATGCAATGGATGAGAAGTTTCGAATGAATCGCCGATAATATGATGCTAACCCGAGAAAACTACGTAACTCCTCCATAGTGGTTGGCGTTGGCCACGACCTGACCTGTTCAGCCTTTACCGGGTCCGTTCGAATACCACCTCCAGATATTATGTGCCCTAAGTACGCCACTTCCATTTTCAAGAGATGACACTTTGAGGGCTTAAGCTTTAATCCCACCCTCAACAAGCATTCCAAAACACTAGCCAAATTGTCCAAGTGTTCACCTTCCGTCTTTCCATGTACGATGACATCATCCAAATACACGAGGCATTTACGCGGGATCAGGTCAGCTAATGCTTTTTGCATAAGGCGTTGGAAGGTAGCTGGAGCGTTAGATAAGCCAAATGGCATGGTCTGAAACTCGTACAATCCAGAGGGCACGACAAAGGCGGTTTTCGCTCGATCGCTCTCTTCTACTTCCACCTGCCAATACCCGGAAGCCAGGTCAAGTGTGCTAAAATACACAGATCCGCCAAGTGCGTTGAACAGATCGTTGATCCTTGGGAGTGGGTAGGCGTCCTTTCGAGTAGCCTCGTTCAATCTTCGGTAATCGACGCATAATCGGAAGCCACCGTCCTTTTTCTTTACAAGGACAACAGGAGATGCCCACGGGGAGTTGGAGGGTTGGATAACGTTCTTCTCTAACATCTCATCTATCAGCTTCTGTATCTCACCCTGCCAGTGGATTGGAATACGTCTCGGAGGCACTTTAATCGGTCTAGCCACACCAGTGTCAATAGAATGTTTCACGAGGCCGGTCCGTCCCAAGTCGCCAGATTTCCATGCAAAGGCATCTGAATAATTTTGTATGACCTGCGCTAATCGTGCCTGTGTTAATGTGTCAGCTGAAAGCCCAATCGACCGAATAAAATCGTCTACACATTGTTGCTCTTTGACACTGCACTCATATAACGTAAAATCCTCAAAATTGCTGTTGCTGCTTGCTCTCAGTAGTATGGTGCACGAATCAGTGATTAGTTGGGACTTCTCCAGGTCAAGTCGGCATTTTAACCTCCTCAACAAATCTATTCCGATAATAACATCGAACGGTATCCGATCAGCAACGATAAATTCATGGTTAAACCTTGTGCAGGCTACAACAACGGGGGCAACGATGGAATTCCGAACAACTAGTGGTAGCCCGTTGGCCGCGGTAAGGCGAGCGTTACAAGGTTTTCTAACACAGTTTGAGAAGCTCCTACTCACGCTGGCCCTGATTAGGCTTCTAGCTGCGCCAGTATCCACTAGCCCCAGTAAGCAAATCCCAGCTATCGATAATTCTAGTGTTAGCGACGTCACAATCGAGTTGCAAGTAAGAGATGGTATCACAAATGATGTCATGGTATGCTCACCTGGCGTGTTCCTGTAGCGAGACGATCCGCGGTATGACGTTTGTCTGCGGGGCCAACGAAAACCTGATTGTGCCGGTCGTCGTGGGGCAGGATATCTCTGAAAACGGCCGGGATTTCCCGTCATTCTTTCAGGTCGGACGCCTCTATGTCGTGTGTTTCCTCTTACCGCAAAACAGCCAGATGTAGGCGTACCCATGGCTGCATCTATGTCTTCCAAATGGTCACTTGTTTCCAATGCTTCGTCCAAACGGCGTGGAGGGTATCGCAGGAACTCCCTTTTAATAGACGGCGTTTGAACGCCCTCTAGGAGTTGTCCTAAGACCAGCTTTTCACGTTCATCTGGCGTTTCGTTCTCGTATGCGATATCGGCCATCCTCTGCAGTTCGCGAACGTATGTGCGTATGGTTTCCGCCGGATATTGGTAACGTGCATGGAATGCCCTGCGTAGGGGCGCAGGTAGACCGGGGCGGGCTAATAATCGGCGCATGGCGGAAAAAGTCTCGGTTGTAACTTCTTTCTCCAAAAGTTTACTGTCTGCAACGATATCAAAGGCCTCTCCCGAGAGCAGACCGGCGAGCACAGCTGCCTGTTGGTTGGATGGGAAATGACGCAGATAAAACTGGACTTGCTTTTCCCATCTGGGGTACAGCATCCCCAGGGTAAAACGTTCTGGCGGCGGGATAGATGGCATGCTGGTTGAAGAAGTTGATGAAGTCGACATTTTCTGCAAAGTCCGTGATAACATATCGAGCGAAGCGGCGAGCTTTGTCGTCGGATCATTAGCGTCAAAATTAGTTTCGTCATCGGCTTTATTGGTTGTCTTCGGCATTATCTTCATTAGACCAGTGATACAGGATTCCTGATGAACGTGCCTCGGCAGGGTCGCCAATATTGTAGTATACAAGCTTGGGAGAACTCCGGAGATTGGAACTGGAGATTTATTAAGCAACACGTAGCAAAAGTCAATCTTCTTCTGCTTGCACTTCTTCCGTTAAAGCACACGACCAGGTTCCTGCAAGGCAAATGAAAGCGCAGCGTAAACACCAGTTCAAAGTCAAGCAGCGCGCCACGACAGTTTCCGTGCAACACTACACTACTTGATCAACTAACAGAGGAAATTGAAGGCCATTTGACTGCGGATATCCGAGTGTGAAATCAGACGACAACCTGGCCTGCCAGTTGTATATTAGTGCACAAACAAATTTCTAACAGTGTTCCAGGGCGTGGTTGGTTTTCGCCTGGCAAGCGTTCTCCCTATAAAAAGCCACAAATGTCCGTGTAACAACACTGCGACGTAGCGGATGTGACCCGCCACTGAATAAAGTCACTGCCTAGAACAACCTACTGGCATGTCGACCAGAAGCGTAATTCAATATTGCCCTGACACTTTCAATAATAAGTTACTCCGTGCCTATATGTATCGTTTTCACTACACGTATAGTGCCCTGACGGTTTACACTACGCACGCTAGAACCCAACGTTTCGTCATTCAATGAAGACTCTAGCCCTCATGATTACTCACACAATTTCCGCAGCCTGTACGACTTCCGGCTTACTGCCGACTACACTGATAGCAACTTGTTTGTTGCGAAACAATATTGCATGTAAATGTTGAGCATACCTTGCTTGGTGTGTCTCGACAAATTCGATAATAACCTATTTATTTATTTATTTATTTTAGTGAAAAGCCACTGCTTATTGACTGGGATTTCCTTTCCATATATCACGGTATGCGCAGCTGCTCCTTTCACCGTTTTGTGCATTACATCCAGTCAAAAGGTGGACGTATCGTATTCCCGCTTGACCGTTTCCTATTTATCCCTAAATTTTATGCATAACGTATTGGGCTCCACACTGTGGCGCGAATGGACTCGCCTGTCTCAGTGCCGTCGATCAGGAAACCGATCCAGTGGACGAGTGAGTTTTTAACCAAACAGCTAGTGGTACTGTGCCTTAGACTTGTGAATAGAACGTTTGGGTACACAGCCGGTGCAAGTTCTTTCTGTTAACGTGGTTGGGTAAACCAGGCCCACAACATGTTGTCAGAGGAACAGAAGAACCCGCTGAGCCATCAGCTGCTTTACTTCGGCTGGCAGACGTATGTAGCCAATCCGACACTAGTAAAGCTGACGGATAGCTTGCTGTCCGAGAGCTGGCGCCTGTGGAGTGCAAGCTAGATGAACACCGCAACACTGATAAAGTTGGATGAATATCCTACACCGTATCAGTTAGCCGTGCTCAGTTACTCCATTGGCTACCATGCGATGTGGATACTAGACGCTTGAAATTCTGGCGATCACGTAAAAGAACCGTATCTTTCAGAAAGGTTCGGGAAATTGGGTGATTGTTGTGAAGGCCTGCTAAACCAGTTAGACAGTCATTGTCGATCGAAAAACGTTTGATTACAACATTGTACAAAGCTGAAAGAAGCACAGACTTTCAGTAAATAGCAGTTGGTAGTATTCCAATGACGGATGCGGTAATGAGAAACTGGCGACAAAAGAAAACTGGTTCGGCCGCAAGCTGATACTGGAGCCACCGTACATTTGCAACCCGAAAACTTTCCACTAATCTTCTACAAGACGGTCTTTGTAAGCTTTCACGGCGGTTAAAGAGGCGTTTAAAACCCGAACCAGGACAATTTTATACTTTAGCGCCCAGAAAATAAATATGGCTAAAACAGATACCTAGCGCTGAAGGGTGTCGGTAAAGTAGGGCATCTTTGAGTCGACAAAGGAAGGGAAGCCATCAACTGCGGCTAAAAGAAGATATGGTGTAAAGGCCCTGCACTCGGACGAGAAGCCACAACATCCGAATAAGCCAACTCAGCTCGCAGCTCAGATTCGTAAGCTCTGTCGCAGTGGAAGGCAACAAGAACCCTGTAATCAAACCAAAGAAAAGAAAGAAAGGAAAGAATATGACATGGCTGAAAGCTGGGGCGAAGGGACTCGCCTCTCTAAGTGCGGTCGATCAGGCAATCAGTCAAGTAGACGAATGAGAATGTCAACACTTAACTACTTGTAATTTGCCACAGACTAGTTAATGGAAGCTTTGTGTGCAGAGGCGGTGCGTTTTCTTTCTGTTGACGCGGCTGGGTGAACCAGGCACACGACACCCAATATAACTTGACGTAGGCCCATCACACCTTACCAAAAAGCTGCTGCTTATGCACGCATTCTCAGTAAACTAATTATTTGTCATAACTAGAAAACTTCTCTTGGTCTAACGAGCATTTTCCTAGCCAAATATTAGCAGTTCGCCGTCCGTGTAAACCCCTAATACACCTCCAAGCCAGTTACTCGTAAATTTGTTTACAATCTCGGTTCTATTACCGCAATGCTTAGGATAATCCGGCCATCCAACTCAAACAACGCTGAACGCCAAGTCGAGCAGGAGGACATGCTCAAATGTAGCGTTGCCGCCTCATTATAAACTACCTCACCGATTTATTTGCCCGTTAATCGGACTCTACTCTCTTTGTTACAATGCCACGTCTTTTCATGAACTGTCACTCCTCTGACGCCGCTCTGATATTGGAAGTATGAGCGTTTGTTCTTCGTGTCCTCACATTAGTTAACATGCGTTTACATGTCTGTCCTTTACTTATTGATCGCATCTACCTTATCATTATGCACGCCGTTGTCTCGGCTCCTCCCTTCCAATTGCTTTCTCACTTCACAAGCCTACCGTTCCTCAATGTTTGACACTGCTGTATTCTAACTTCACCCGTCGCCGCTGCGTTCTAGCAGCACCCACACCATTGCTGTCTAGGAGTTTCACAGATAACACCAATTACTATGCACTCTTTACCACTCTTCGTATCTAGCTACTATTTACCTCATGTTCGCATTTGCCTTACCTTATCAAACTGATGACATATGGACTAAGGACCCCAATGCATGGCCCAGTTTTGGTGGCCTCTGCCCCTTTTCTCTACTTTCTGCCTCTTTTCAGACTAAGGAATAATGAGCGCTTCCGTGTCCTTCTTTCAATATCTACGTTTTGCACTTCCAATTACATGTATCCGTTCTTCATCGAATTTACGTTTTCTTCCACATTGGAAGCTGCTTCCCGAACTGACTGGTCCCCGATTCCCATCTCAAACAATTTGGCCTAGCTTTAGCTAAGCTACTTGTAGCATCCGGACGGCTGCCATTGTGGTTAATCGTGCCCTTAGTTCGGCATTTTATTTATGATTCTGTCCAATAATCGCATTATACGTTGAACACGTAGACGCGCTTTATTATATGGGTCTTCTGAACATGCGCGTTGAAGAATCTTCTTCATACGCAGCAGTTGCAATGTGAGCCACACCGGAGCCGTGATGCAAGAACACACCTGTAAATCATGTAGACTTAGCTACGTTACATAGGCTCTGGCGTACAATATAGCGAGGCACCACGGTAGCCATCAGTCTTCCGCTAGTGCTTCTTGGTGCGTCCTGCGCTGGCTGCCTGGTTGCCACTTGTACGCTGCCCGTTTTCCCCGTGATTTGCATAGCTTCATAGGCAGATGCAATACCTTTACTTCTTTGGTACTGGCGGTTCCAAGCTTCAAAACTAGCTAGCTTTGGTATTCCATCTTTTCTTCTGAAAATGATAAACCTTTCATCTTTCTGAAAAAGCCACTTATATTTCCAAATGGTGTTTCCTAGCGCCATTGTGGGGAGATGCTATCTTCGCGGGGCCTAAAACTGGGTAGGCTCACCTCATGATCGTAGGATCTGTTCTTCTACAATGGATAGCAAATGCTTCTGTCGTGATTAACTTACATTGTAATGGACAGCGTTACCGGTTTTCACTGGCGTTCGAACAATTGGGTTCAATGCTTTGCATTTCTGTAAGAACGTTCTGCTATGCAATGTAGGTAGAGCTTTTCTGATGACATTTCCTAGGCGGCTTTGCAACTTCTCAATGGCGCTGAAACAAATGGGTTTTGCCCTTTTATTCCTTGAAGAACACTGTGTTATTTCCTTTATCTGCCGCTTTCTGCTGGAATTTCATGGTGTTTTCCCGTGACCATGGAGACGTTTACACTTCATGATAGGTAACCACTGTAGGAATACTAATCCTATTTTGCGGACAAAGTACTCTTTTACTTGGTCTGGGTTGCGACTTAGCACTCATAAAACTAACCATGATTTGAACCTCTTATTTTGAACTCAGGGAGGATCCCACTGTGTACCGAGGTTCGGCATTTTCTTTTGAGGTAGACGAATTCCGTCATGGGTACCCACAGCACACATCACCTCCATGACAAGTCCAGTGTGGCTAGCTGGATGCGAGCTCTGCACAACCCGACTAATGGTCAGTAGTTTGTTGCGGATAATAAAGCCAAAGCTTGACGTGCCCCGCCGGCTGATCGGTTAGTAGTGAGCAAACTAAAAGCAAAACGAACGATATAGAATATTGAACACTAACAAGTTGCGAACTTGCCAAGAACAGCCTTCCCGTCCGGTTTATGAAATGTCAAATGTTATCGACCACGGTTTCCGGGTAAAATTGGAGGTGGATTGATTTGTTTTTGCGTTTCTGCTCTTTGGATGGGTCGTTTGGATTGCATACTATGGTATAGCGTAACCAGTACGCTATCGGCACGTGCGTTAAACACGGCTAAATTGAGGACTGAAGTTCCAGCTTCTAAGAGGACATTCCATGTG